TTTTCCTTTTTTCTTTTAATAGTTTTCTAATTTCCAAAGTGCATGTTACATTATTTTTAGTTGTACTATTCAAAAACTTAATCATTCCAAACTTAATCATTTTTTAATGTTGCTAAATTTTTCGTTGTTTAAGGATGAGTGTTTATAATGATTGACATATTGTACGTTTCACTTCCCTTGCCAACAAAGCTTGTTTGCAAGGGATATAAAACGTACATCAATCACTCATACAAAATTTCTGGGTAAATACAGAAATTAAAAAGTAAATTTGTTTTATCAAAACAAACATTTTACTAAACATACATGTACATATTGCGTTTTAAATATGTTTTATTTGTTGTTAACCTTAGTTTAACAGGATGTAGTTTAGGATCTTCTGTGGATTTAGTTACGCTAATGTAGATCAGGTTCACATTTTACCAATGATTCTGTAAGTTGGTACAAATCGATTCTATTTGCATTACTAGTAAATATCGAAAAAAAATTTTTAGCAACAATGGCATTTATTTTTTATTTCATTTCATCAAAGTTACTTTAAAAACATTGTCTTTTAAATTTTACTTTTTATCTGTAGTTCTTAAAAACAATAAACTAAGAAATTTTTGAAGACAATTTCCAAAAAATATTTCAAGCTTGTTTTTTTGAAATTAAAATTAACTAAATTCATCATAACCGAAACAAACACATATGTACATAAATTATATGTATATACATATATATTTATCTGATTCAAAAGAATAACTTACACGGATCTTCCACCTTAACAAAAAGTGAGGTGTACTTATTTACATACGTTACATATCTAAACAGCTTTTGATTGAAAAAATTAATTTATGTTAAAAAGTTAACCTTTTGTTATTTGCTTAGTATTGTTTTTAAAAATATTTTATTATTATTTGCAAATACATACATATTTATATTTTCGAAAGATTATTTGCAAGTTGCACTATATACATAGCTATGTACTTATATTTATATAAAGAAAATTTCTGAGCATATTATTCTAGCGTGTTACTAATAGCTTAAGCGACATAAATAATAATTAAGTAGCAAGTAGGTAATTATTGATTTTATAGTGCTTATGTTAAATTACATATTTACATATATAATATTACATCTTTTTAAAGTAGTTATTCTTTTTTTCTTATCTGCATATTTTATACTACATTTATACTTTTGTTTTTTCATTTGTTATTTTTTTGGGTGGGTATATTTTTTCGTTATTATTATTATTATTGTTTCTTTGTTTATATACAAAAAACATATGATTTTGTTGTTTTTAGTAAACACGAAACAAACACAAAGATTTTTGTATACTAACACACATGTTGCTTAATTTCCTTTATGCCTGTTAAAATTTCAAGATTATGCCATAACACACATACATACGTTCATTTTTATTTTGCGTTCCATATGCGCTGTTGTCACTTTTCAACTAACCCATTTGAAAAAATAATTCCCTAATGGAAACGAATATATGTATATGTTTACATATATTTATAGATATACTTTTGTATGGCAAAATGACTGATCTGATTTTCTTATGCATATGATTTTTTTATTTATAACTACGTATGACATAAAACATTTCAGCTAATATGTTTATAAGAACTAAAATTTCTTTGTTAAAATACATATCCCTACATATTAAATACGAAATGTAGTAGATATTTACGTACTCGTACATTTTTTATTTAGATAGGTACATATCGTGTTTTTGAAAGAAATTGTAATTATAATTCAGTCTTATGTACATACATACATTACATAGCTCCGCATAATATATTTTTATTTTTTTATTTGTTAAACCATCATCTCAAAAAAGCTTAAAAGCTCGTACACAGTTTGTCACTATGTTTTGATTTACAATACGTTAAAAGTAAAAAAAAAAATAAAGTATTTTTTTGTATTTAATTTAATAAAAAAGTATTTAATTGCGTAAGTATTAGCGTTAGTGAAACAGAATTAATCATATTTGGTTTATATGTGCATACATATATGTAATTCAAAAAAATTTGTGAAATACATATGCATTAAAAGGTATAGATATATTATACGATTCATATACCTTCATGAAAAGAACATTTTTCAGGCCCCCACTGTATTAAGGCATAATAAAGGAACAATAAAATTCAAAAGTGTGTCAATTTGTACTACTACATCCAAACTGGCACATTTATTTTTTCTAAAAAATATCTACATACATACATATGTATATTTTCACATAAACGGGTAGCCAATTTCATACGTCACACGTTTATCGTACACATATTCAATTAAAACGATATAAGCAAGTTTATATGTAATAAGAAATAATTTGAATCTTTTGTATAAATTGTTAGATCATTGAAATTGGAAAAGTAATAAAACATATTATAAAATCTCCTCATATTATATACATAGATACCTCAAATATATTATGTATGCGTGTTAACCGTTGCTTCCACATGTATACATTTTATGATATATACATGTAAACGCATATATGCATATACATATTTGGATTTTGAATACCTACAGTTTTCCTGATTGACATCGTTATGAATTTATAATTCCTTAATTTTAAAGCATTAATCAATACTCTTTAATCGTTACTCTTTAAGAAAATCAAAAATGAAAGTACGTATGAATATTTATACATACAAGTATACCTACATATGTATGTATATTTACCAACTTCTATCAACTTTACAATTTCCTCTGGTTTCTTTATGGTTAAGTTAAAAGCATTGTATGTCGCAAACTTTTTCGTATTTTCGTTTTACGACTCTGTATATAAGACCCAGTACTACCAAAAGTGAAGATTTATCTTCAAAATGTAGGTTTTGTAAGTCATATTATTTGTGCAAAACTTCGAAATAAGATTTTTAAAATTTTACATACAAAAATATCTTCAATATTAAGGATTTTACTGCTGCTGAAGGTTTGGAGAATTGAATTTTGTGCAGTTTTTTCCACATTTTTAAAAATTTACAAAAAAACATTTGACCAAAAAGCCAATCTAATCGGCAACGCATTGTAACGACACTTCCATGATAAAAAATTTTAGATATTTTCCGCTGTAATTAATTCTTTACCTAGAAGTCGATTTTGGTAATATGTCATTACGCATGTTTATTACCTTTCTTTTTTAAAGATCTCAAAGAGCTCATGAGATTTTTTTTACTGAGTCTTTGAAATGAAGATTTTATTTTAAAAAAATTAAGATATTAGGACTTATCTGTTGCAAGTTTAAAAGGTATAAATATTTAAGTACATAAATAATGCTTGCAATGGTAAATTCCGTAAATAGTACATTTAAATATGTATGTGTAAATTATCAATTTTTTAATTCGTACTTACCAGTGCTGTTAAGGTGTGAAATTTTTTTTTTATTTAAGTTTTAAGATAAAAAATCATAAATATGTATGGATTTGTAATAATATTATAAATTAGAATTATATGTATGTATACATATGTATATATCAGTGACGGAGTGTAACACTTTTAAGAAGGGAACTGCACAGTAATATACGTACATATTTTTATAGTCATTTATTCTTTTCTTTTTTTTACGAAGGTTGGTAGAATGTTTTTCTTATCGAGACATTAAATGCCGGATTTCTTTAGGGAAATTTAATAAAAAGTGTTATAAATGGTCAATGTAGTCACATCGTTTCGCAATATTCTGAAACTTTCTCCTTTTTAATGTACATAAGTAGACAGCTTATAAAACATGGATGGTATTGATTTAACAGAATAAAAGGAAATTAGCTTTAATATAGTATTAGAGTCGTGATTACCAGAACATGAGCATAATCCTATGCACATATGTATATGTCCATACATACGAGTACATTTGTGGATATGTATAGGGCCAATTTATTTCCGCAACTATTGTGGTAAAGGCTCTTTTGCTATTAATAAAATTTTATTCTCTTTTTCCACCATGTGAATGTTATGTTATAAGTTATGTGTAACCTTTTTAACTTTCTATGTTTTTGCTTACTTTTATGTATATTTATTTTAATATACGTACATACAAATGTATATGATGAAATAAAAATATGTACGTATTTAACACTTTGTTTTTTCATTTAACCCTTCCTTTTCCACGTGTTTTTTTTATTAAGTTATTGTATTCTAGATTAGATTCAGTTATCATCTCTATACGCTTTTCCAAAAATTTACAGAAGTCGTGCTTAGAGTATTATTTCAATTATTATTATCATGTAAAACAAACAATTTTTTTTAATGTTAATCCTAAGCTGTTCTTAACACACAAAAAACTTTTTCCAATTCATAAGTTAGGAATGAAATGGTTAAAGTAGTAAATAAAAATCTTAAGCCAACATAAATTGTCTGCATAGTCTATTGCAAACTTTAGCATTCTACTGCCTGCTTTTTCGCATAATTTTTCTATGTAAAACAACTTTAAAGTGGTCAGGTGAAAGCATAGTTTCACAAATTCATGATTATACAAATATTAAATTAGCTTCTAGAGCAAAGAAGACTATGCGAACATAACTTAATAAATTTTTAAGTGATATACTATTATATATATAAAATCTATTTAACTTGTAAAATGGTTGGAACTATCGCTTTTGAATTGCCCTGTTATGCAGCTGAATGAGATCGCTTTGCGTCAGTCGACCAACATCAAAACTGAATAATTGGAGTACAAAAAAAATAGATACGTGTGCTTTGCAAGAAATATGTCGAAAGCACTGTAATGGATCTCAGGCACAATTCCGCTAAAAAGGTTCTTTTTGAGAAAAAAGCCGCTTGCTTTAGTCTGTCGGTTGCACGTTTGTTTGTCCAGTTTGGCGCTAATTTTCGCGCCCATAGTTAAAATATGATTCAGTATTACTTTAAAATTTATAAGTATGAAAATTTTTAGGTAATTTTTAGATTTTTCGAGTCTTTTCTTAAAAAACCGTTATCATAACTTAATGAAAGTCATAACATGAAAAAGCATTATTATTTAAAACCTAAGAAAATCTAATCTTCTCTATTTTCAGAATATTAGCAAACAAATAAAAAAAATAATAATTGTTATAAAAATAGCCGAAGTTAGAAAAGAATATTCAAAATGATACCGACAGCACTGAACAGTTCAAATAACACCACTCAGACGGTTGGATCAGCAACAATCGGGATTGCATCTTTAATATTGGAGGGACGTGCCTTATCTGATGATGATTACGTTATACCACTAAATGCTAAGAAGCATGTGTTGTTAATGCCACCAGGATATAATTCCACAACGATGCAACAAAATCACGTTCCATTAATAAATATAACTACAAATCCTTCTGCGGAACTGCCACTATCAACAAATTTAGCTGTCACATTGAAAACTGCAGCAGCACTTGAAGCTGCGGTAACAGCAGTTGTAGCATCGAATTCGAGATCACTACACCAATTAAGGTCAAAGTCTCCATTAAGCGTGAAAAGACCTTCATTGTCATCGACAACGTCAGTTGCCAGCTCGACATCTAGTTCATCCGTACTATCAACAAATTCAGCAATATTGATACCGTCAGATTCGTCAGTACAACATTTTCAAAGAATAAAGCAAAAGTTGACACAATTGCGACAGTCTTCACCTAGAGCAACTCGAGATCCTTTCTTGGCTATTGATCAAAAAATCATTGTTGGTGGACCTTCTAGTCTTAATCGCAATTCTACTGTCGATTCACCAGATTTGTCTGCTGACAATTCATCAAGTGGCGATGATGTTGATAATGATATGTCTTCTATTTTGCCGCGTAACACGCAATGGAAACCATCTGGTGGTGCCTCCTGTAGTTGGAAATCTACACCAAATTTTTGTAATAATGGCATCGAAACAAATGTGATTTCCGGAAGTAGTTGCTTTAACAGGGGTGATTTTAGTGGAAGCAATAGTAATGTAGAAGGAAGCAATTGCAATAACAAAAGAGTTTCTACATTTAACAACAGTGGCTTAACTACTATAAACAGTCATATTTCTGATAATAATCTTCTTCATACATTACAGTCATTAGCTTCTAATTGCTTGTGGACTTCACCACGATCCATGGGTAAAACTACAGAAGATTGGGATTGCAATGCTGTAAATCCAAATGGTAATGATGAAACACGCATCGATTTGGATTCTTCAGTAGATAATAATTATTTCATTAATGATTTAAATAACGGTGTTAAATCTTCAACAATGACCAACAACCTTAACTCAAAAATTAATATAAAAAGTAATAATATCAATAGCAAGGAAAATGATAAAATAAAAGCTAACCCCCAACAGGGACCACACTGTGATCAATTCCTCAAAAAAATTGGTCTTAATGGAAATAAAGGACAATTGACCGAGTTTGAGGAGCACATCTGTGATATGGCAAATTTGAACGAAATTGTAATTGATAGAATAAATTTTTTTCTTTTTCAATTTTGTTTTTAATTAAAATATTATTGGTTTTAGTGCTTTCATTGGCAAATGCACTGCCGACAATTGGAGGTTATGTTATCAAGGTCTGATCCAATCTGCATTGAAGTTTATTTGGGACCAGAAAATGATGAAATACTAATGGAGCAATGGATTATTGAAAAAACAGATTCGTAAGTTACTTTATCCAATATCACTTAATTCGAAAACAAAAACTCCAAATTTAAATACTATATTATTTTTATTCATAGTATATGTATTTTATTTTATTTATAGTAAAGTAAAGTATAGTATTTATTTATGTGGTATTTACAGCATTAATGCATGGTGAATAATTATTTTTTAGGCCATCTACACCAAGTATGACACTGCAAGCTCTTTGCAATGCGATTCGAAGTCAGCTATATTTTTCGCAAATAACTGCTTGGTCTGATTCAATAAAAAAATGTAATCCTTTCGATAAAGAAATTATGGAAAATGCTCGCATAAAATCCTTTAGCAGATTTGGTATTGGCAGTGTATCACCGTCCTCTTTAGGTCTGGCAACATCGGCATCAGCGAGTTCAAATTGGCCGACAATAAAAAAACCTCGTTTAAATATATTTTACCGTATTAAACCATATGATTCGACTGCCTCGTTCAATGCAAAACCAAATATTCATAATTTTCCAAACGTTCTAATATCAGGGAATTGTGCAATATCGGTTTGCTTAAAAAGTCTTCCACGTTTACAAGGTGGCATACCTAAAATAAACGAAACAAATAAAATGATTAAAACTTTAACACCAACAACGAAAAATATAAGTGGTGTGACACCTTCAAATTGTTGTATTTTAGTTGATAATAACGAAAATTGTGATATTTTAAAACCACAATCCATAGTGTCAAGTACAAGCAAAACATCAACTCAAGATTCTTTTATGTTTTTAAACGACAGTCTCAACATACCTTGTACGGAAAAGGGTAAACATAAATGTGATTATGATGAAGAAGATGGAGGAAGCTCAGATGCCGTTGGGGATGGTGGTGGAAATAGCAGTAGTGGCGGAAGTGCTGAAAATGGTGACCTAGAAACTACAATAAATCTTTCACACAGAGAAAAACAGCTGATGAAATATCGGAAGAGAATGATGAAAAGAGATAAAAAAAAAAAGTCCACTATTTATTCGAATAATGCTAGTATCGAAGTTGATGCGAATAATACCTATAGTTTGAACGCTACACAGAAAAATGATACAAAGAAAGATTTTAAGGACACTGAATTGAAATTCTCGCGGGATCTTCTACCTTTACCAGTTAAAAAAGTATTCGCAAATAAAATTGATAACCGAAAATTATTAGATGGTAAGGCTCAAATTGATGAAATACATATTTTGCAACAACAACAAGAATTTGGATCCATTAACTCAATAGGACTACCGTTATATCGAACAATTGCAAATACGGTGGCAGAATCAGTACAAACTCAACAAATTGAAATGGTCTCGATTGGAACCCAAACATCAAATATATTTGAGATTCCATCCTGTGATAAATGTAATGCTAAAATGACTTTGGTTTGCCTTCAGTGTAATAATTCAAGAGGAAAAAAATCGTTACCACACTTAGCCATTTCACAAAACAACGTCAAAAAAGAAAAGCTGCCAGAAAAACATTTAGAGAAAGGTCCGAGATTTTTAGTTACATTTTACAATTAAAACGAAATTTTTAAAATGTTTTCATTTTTTTCTTAGGTGAATTATTGCTTCAAGCTATTCAGAGGGTTCCTAAAACTAAATCGCAAGCTGTCCGGAGTAACAAATTATCGTTCAATTCGTCATATCATGATTCCTCACTTAACAATTCTTGCAACACAATATCGTTAGCAAGCAATTTTCAAAAGCGCAAAATCGAAAAATCCCCGCACATGTATTGTAAGCAGAAGAATTATCAAAAGAAATATTTGAATTTTTTGAACGACAGTACTTCGAGTTTGTTAAAAATTTGTCCAAATAACGAACTATCGCAGGAAATATTTTGTCATCAACAAAATTTTACTTCAACACCAAAAGTTGATTCACAAAATAATTGTAATTGCTTACCAACCTGCCTTACAGTTCAAATGGAAGATTTTGAAGTTGGTAATGCTGGAACGTCAACACCTAGTGTATTGTTAACACCACCATTGAGCATGGAAATGAAAAATTTAAGTTGTCGTAATGAATTTGATACACCAATGAAAAATGTTGAATCGAAAAAAATATCGGACCAACAAAAGAAAC